TGAAGGAATGCCACAGTATCGTAATCCTTTTGAGAAGGGGGACCTTTACATTAAGTTTGACGTTCAGTTTCCTGAAAATAACTGGATTAGCCCAGAAAAGCTTTCGGTAAGTAGTTTTTTCAAGCGTAGATGTGGTGGTCTTATATGACAGCTTCTGCAGAGTGTGTGTGGTGTACCTCACATGCTTGCTTTCAGGACTTAAATTTAGATGCAAGTACTGTTGTTGCTCTAGTGTTGTTTGTGGGCAACATGTCACTTGAAAATACCCATGGGAACATGAATGGAACCTGTATTTAAGAGCTGTGCATGTTGGGTAGATGAGGGCAGGAGAATGAGAACTTATCACACAGCACCAGGAAGATTCTGAGTACAGCTGTATTTACTGATTGCACTCTGGGTTGATGGAGCTGTTTGTTCTCTTGAAAGTGATGTCTTCCAGTTGATACAAATACCTTGGATGATTTTAAATGAGTATGCATTTTAGGGTTTTCATCAGCTGAGACTTCTAAACCAAACTTGCTCTGAGAGGAGGTCTTGAATTTCTGGAAAACTGGTCACTTTATTTAGCAGTTGTAGATGCAGTACTTAATACGCTTCTCTTTTTTGGGGGCAGGAACTTGAAGATCTTCTGCCAGCTAGACCAGAATTTCCCAATGTAATTGGTGATGCAGAAGAGGTAGATCTTCAGGAATTTGATACCACTCGTGGTTCAGGGGGTGGCCAGAGACGTGAAGCTTATAATGATAGTTCTGATGAAGAAAGCAGCCATCATGGACCTGGGGTACAGTGTGCCCATCAGTAAACATTTGTCTAAAAAGTTGCACAAGGATTTTTCTTTCAAATTTTGCCTGACTTGTTTTCAGCAATCCTGCTGGATTGTATAAGTAATCCAGATGAACCAATGGACATCTATTGCTGTATGTGTAACTTTTAAATTGGTCTATAGTATCTACAGAGTGTAATTTAAAACTAACCACAAGCTTACATCTTCATTTTGACTGTGTAGCAGAATAAAGCACTTGAGAGGAAGACAAGACTCCTTTTCACATGGGTTTTAAGTTTGTCCTTGTGTCTGTGCTTGATTTTTACAGTTTTGTGTAGATTTTAAGTTTCATATTTTAAATTCAAATTCTACATTGTAAAGTTTGTGTACAATTTGTCCTGAGGCTTGGTATTTGGCTGCACCTGCATAAGCTGCTACAAATAGAATAAAGAATTTCATAGCCTGTATCTATCATCTAGATGCATGGTAAATGGGCTTTGCACATAATGGGTTTAGAGCTGACTGGGAACAATGGAAGACTAAATTAGAAGTGGTTGTTAAGTTTTTTTTCTACCATCTTGTGAACGGTTTCTGAAATTAAATAAAAGCAGTTGGTGTATAATATATTTCTTTTGCCTTAACTCTTACTTTTCCAGTGGCTTTAACTATACTGTGTACGAAGAAACTATCTAGATGGTAGACTTTTTATAAACACGGGGAGGCTGAAGCTGCTTTAAGACTAGGTTGCAGTTAGGTGACAATTGTGTCACATCTAAAAGTCTTCTTAAAATGAGAACTAAATGGGCATGGGGAAGGCTGCAGCCATGTCCCCTTTGTGTGAGGGAAAACAAGGATATCAGAGTTGAATCAGAAGATAACAAAACCTTTCAAATGAAGGTGATTAAAAACCAAAATAATGGTGTCATTATCTTAGCTTTTGAATCCAATTCAAAGCCTGATTCAGCCTGACATCCCAGAGAAATGTTTCCAGTTTTAAAAAAAACCACTTGGTAAAATTAACATTATGCCTGGCAACTTGCGGTTGCATTAACACAGTAAAAAGATGGAGATTTGTATTGTACTTGACAAAAACTTTTGACCTGGAAACATGCTAAGAGTAAACAGCTTCATTACTTTTCCAGTAGTTTGCACCTTGTTTTAACTATTGTGACATTGAGTTCTCCAGCTTCAGTTCTGTTCCGTTTTATATCATTTCAATTGGTAAAAAATACCACAACAAAGCCAAAATGTGACCATAAATGATTATCTGGTACAGTTAGTTATCTAAGCATTCTGTTACAATGTTAAGGAACTGTGCACGAGCTTTGGTTGGTAAGCTGCTTCTTTACAAGAGAGATTTCTCTCCCTTGTCAAAGCAATGCAGTTGAAAGATGCCTCCACTTTCCTTTACAAATCTGAAGTGTGACTTGTTTAATCATTGCTCAGATAGTTGTTGACACTTTACTGATGAGGTTGGGGGGGGACAAACTCCAAGTGTTTCCATGTGCTTGGGTAGGCATTAGCGTTTGAGTGTTGCTGAACATCCTTGTTGTAGACTCTAAAACTGAAGCAAGAATAAATACTGTTTGACCTGTATTTTAGTATTGACTTCTTATGCTGTGGCATTCTCATCTAGTGAATCTTTATTTTTTTATTGAAAGTTCAGATTGGTTTTCATGAAGCCGTGGTTACATACTGATCCTTTTTCCTGATTATTTTATCCAAGAAGCTAGTTACCTTAAACTGTAATGCTTAAACAATTAAAATGTCAGTCTTCTGCTTTAGGATTTACCTCCTTGGAAGGCAGTATGCTGTAAACTTTTTATCTCCTTACTTTAAAATTGCATTTTGGGGGGGGGAGAGAGGAAGTCATGGTAACTTTTTGAATACTGTGCTGAAGTAATATTAGTCCAGCTGTGTTTCAGTCCTGAAATTGGATTAAATTAGGCTCCTCCTGACAGCAGCAAGCTTAAATGCACAGTGACTTCAGCATTGCCCTTATGTTTATCTCCTGCTCTATTAAGAGTGTATCCCTTCACCAAGTTGGATTATAGAAAAATGTCACTTAAAATTCCCAATCTGCACTGTCTTGGTTTCAATATTTAAGTTGCATGTCATACACCACTACGGTTACTAATGCATTAGTAGTTTACTGATGAACTTCAATGCTTAACATTGCCATAGAGGGTCTAACTGGGCCAGTGCGACTGTCCTAGGCATAATCAAATAACTTTAGTTAAGTGTTCTCAGTAATAAAGAGCTACAACTTAAGTTTATGTTAGAGGTGGTACTACAGACAAATAAATATTCTGTATGTTAGGGAGGAAGAAAATGTGATCACCAGAACAGTATAAGAACCATTTAGTAGTTAACACTTCTTTATATCTTTAATATTTGCCTCAAGAAGCTGAAGGAGAAATAAAACAACTCAGGAAGTCTTACCTAGCTTATTTTGTGATCTATTTCCAGATAGAGAGTGACTAAAACTGACCTAAAGGTGACACTCATAGGAAGTCCTGTCTGTCCTTGAGTGTGTTTAATTTACAGTCAGTATCTTATAAACATTTATTCATATGATACTGACAGCGGTGTGGTTCTTGCTCACATAAAGGAGGCTACATGCTTTCAAAAAACAGTTCCCCTATAGCCTTAGGCTGCTGCAAGTATTGTCAACTATGGCTGTGGAGGATGGGTGGAGCATTCAATTGTATGCATCTTAAAAGAAACATTGTAGATAGGGATTTATAAGAATTACTTCAGTTGAGGAGTCCTTGAGCTTCCTTACAGTATACATTTTGTGAATTTACCCTCTGTGTCAGGGGCCAGAAACACTTTCACAGCTCCTAGTAGTAGCTTTTTAGTCACAAAAAAGCTCATCTCTAAATTTGCAACCTGTAAAACACCTGAACAGGCTTGATGAAACACAAACAGCTTTTTTTTTTTTCCAAAGAAAAGGTTAGGCATGCTTTGCAAGACAGCCCAATATGCTTTTTTTCCTAAACTGCACAAAGTGCATGTTTCAGTATTGTAGTGCAATTTTGGTTAGTGTAGTATGGGAGTGAAGAATTAATCATTCATGTTGCAATGTCCATTTGCCTACAACAATCAAAAGCTGATACCACATTCATGTGATACTCATAGCAATTTTATGGGAAAGCAGATGCTCATTTAGATTACTGAATTACAGAACTCTTTGTTAATGTATTGTCTGAAGGAGAGGTTTATTCCTGTACCTCCTGGTTTCCAAGTGAGAGCATAGTTTTAAACCAGTTTTGATAGCGTTTTAACTTCATGGTCTTTACCATTTTTTTCTTCCATCAGATTATTTTTTTTTCTTTACTTGAAACTTCTGACATTTGTTTCCATAAGTGAAGCAAGGGTGGAAGCAAGACAGAAGGAATACTAATCTAGATTTCATTCTTAAACAAATGTTTTAGAGTGTAGGAGTCTTTCATACTATACTTTGCCACAGTGAACACACTTCAGTTGAAACTGCCACCAGCAGAATAAAAGCCAAGTGCACCCTCAAGTTCCTAAAATCCTAGAGCACCCACAGCAGTGACTGCTGGACTAACACCTGGACATGGAAAGATGTTAAAAGACTTTCCTGCAAGTTACCCAGGAGTACATAAACATTAAAAAAATCCGGTTGATGTCGAGGTCACTACCCATCATCTTGCACATTACTGTCACAGCACAGGAAATATGTTTTATTTCTGTGTCAAATTCATACATGACACCACAGAACTAAACTTACATGCCTTAAAATGCTATTCAAAAAAAACTTGCTTATTTCCAGAGATGGCTTCAAAGGGATTGCTCCAAGACTGAACATGGGTAGTAAACCTACACTACACTCCACTTGGGGCATGCATGGAAGAATGACATTACAGAGTTCTGTACTTAGTTACATAAAAAACTCTGGAGTCCTGTTTAGAATACTGGAGTTAAAAGTTATTTCCTACATACAACCTATTACTGTCCATTAAATGTGAACTGATACAAGGGGTTAACTAAGCCTTTTACGAACAAGTTGGAAAAGGAGAAATTTTTTCTGCTTTTGTATCCTCCACAGATTACAGGAATTTAATAATACACATCACATTGTAAGCTTTTATATAAAAACATTTACTGGGCAGTGTACAGCTTTATTAAGACATTATAGACATTCTCTAAACACTTCAGAGGCAGCAAGCAAGAGCTGTAACAAATGTTCTGTAGTCACAAGGTACTTCCATTAACTTGGTTTAGCTGTTGCCTTTCCACACAGTACAGTCAGCTCACTCTAAGAGAGGAAAAACTCATTTTAGTTCAAGCTATCCAACAGAACTTGGAAGAAGAAAGAGCAAAGTCACTGAAGCAAACAGTGAGCAAGCATTCTCCTGTTCTCTACCTACAGATTTATGTCCATGTTATAAAATTCAAACCAGCTCCCAGACCTTTAGCTTAACTCATAGAGCTGCATTCAAGGCTAAATACCTGCAAGACTAAACTGATTAATTATGTCTACATAGATTTCTAGTACTGCACATTACTTCAACCAAAAAAATCACGTACTCTCATCTTCAGAGGAATCAGGCACTATGTGCTACCAAGTTCTGTTCATTCTCCTTCAAAGCAATATACTTCCTTAAACCAAAGGTAAGGCAGTTCCTATTCAATTACAGCAGAGAAATAACAGGAGTATAGTTCATACTCGGCAAGAGACATAGAACAATAGAGAGATTATAACAATAATTGAAACTTAGCTGTAGCTTTGTAAGCCTTTGTGAATATGATAGAGAATGGCAGTTTGCTCACATGGTAGGAGAGACACCAGAGCAATCTAGAAGGAAGAGTGTATGCTTCTGTTGTCACCCAGGCAATTACCAAACTGCACGTGCTTCTTTAAGTGCATTTACTTTTACACATTACCTCTGTGCAGCAGTTCTCCCTTGCCCTATTCTTCCCTCCAATTTATGCCAACGAATTTAGGCTTAACCTCAGAAGAGTTAAAACTTACAGAATTTGAATTAATGGCAGTATCTGACATGCAAACCTGAAACTACATGTAGGCTTACATAAAAATATCCAGACAAGTTTAAGCTTACCACCAAGTTATGAATATGCTGTACTGTATCTTGATTTAGTAGTTGCACATCAATATTATGGAGATCTCCACCAGCTGTACAGAGCGTCTAAACATGAAGAGAAACAAAATCATGTGCTTCCTTCCTGCACTGCAGAACTCGAGTAACCATTTTTCCTTTTGGGTAGCAGCAGCAACTCATTTAGGGATAGCAAGAGAAACTATGGATAGTCTAATAGTGCTATCAATTACTATAAAATGAAAATGTTGGTTTGGGTTTTTTTTTTTGGTTGGTGGTGGTTTGGGGGTTGTTTCAAAAAAAAAAAGGTGGATACCTGTCCGTCAGCCAGGGGAATGTTGACGAATGGAAGAGTTTTATCTTGTGGGACTGATTTACTTCTTAGCAACATGCCTTGAGCTCTTCGTTTGGTCGGTTCAGTTCTTGAGAGGGTCCGTTGCAGTCCAGCACTAGAATACAACAAAAATGTTACTCTGAAGGTAACTTCCTGTGCTCTTCAGGAAGTCTTCAAGCATGAAGCAGATGCACATAATAGCAAAGAGACTTAACAGAAAGGCAATCATGTTTTAAGTTTTTCCAGTTCTGCCAGAAAACTAAAGGAAATCCAACCATCAGCAGCATTTACCAAGCACCACTAGGCAACATTTAATGACCCTTAAACACTGCAGTAACCTAAGCCTGTGTTACTGGCTAATAGTACCTGTAACTACTGTTACAGGAGGCAAGCTGATATTTGGACCACTCAATAACAAGAATATCCCTCTCCACTATCAACAGGAAATGTTTATAGTTTGGGAAGCAGGAAACTTCATGCCTTGGGGTTTACGATGTGATGTGTGCTGTATCTGTCTACTACAGAGGGAGATACCAAGAAATAACAAAGCTGCTAGCTCTCAGAGGTACATGGCATACCTTATGCCATACCAAATTCCCAAGCTTCTTCCACTTATTCTACTTGAAAAATGTACAATTTGGGTATCTTCTGCATGGAAACAAGCCTCTGAAATTCATAGCAGGCCAAGGTGAAACTAAGCCACTTGGTGGTTTCGTGACCCATGTAAGTTAAGTTTTTCACCCCCTCACTTCAGCTTATAACTTCTGCCAAAACCAAACTCTGTAGTGTGTGGAGAATGATAATAACTGAAAACCTTAACTGTTCAATATGCAAAGAACTGATGGTCTGTTTATTTGGTTTGGGTTCTTTGAGGATATTGTTTGCTTTAAACCACAGCAGTTAGTGACATTTTAATCAAGCTTGGGCTCTGAGAATTAATTTAAGCTGTAAACTATACCTTTAAACAACAGTGGGTGGGAGTAGAAATTATCCTCTAAATCTGTTTCTTTTCTAAAATGCCTTAGTTATGACATCATATCCTGTACCTCCATGAGTACATACGTTAACATCCACAATCATAGCAGATGGTGTGACTGGTTCACATCCCTCTTACTAAATTTAGTGGCAGACTATGAAGACCTATCACATCTAGATAGATAATGATTAATATCTAGACTGACAATAATGTAGATAGATATTGTCTTGGTATTTAACAAAATAAGTCATCAAGAGCAAGCTAAAATCCCCTTACCTTTTAGATACACTTGGTATGGCTTTGAAATCCGTAGCACTGCTATCAAAACCAAGAGACTTAATGGCATCAGTCATGCTTGCAGAAGCACGAACAGACCTAACAAAAAAAAAAAAAAGTGGTTGTTGCTTTGGTTTCTTTTTAATTTATTTTCATTTTTTATCTCCTCATCATTTACTGTAGAGTTTGAGCTAGGGTGAAGATAAGACAGCTGGTGAATTAGAGAATGTTGGAGTGCTCCAAGACAGAGACCTACAGTATACACATGTGAAGAAGCCCTCATGAGGTAGACATGATATAATGGGACCTAACACCACAGGGGAATTAAAGGATCATTTGTATCAGTAGGTAAGAGAGGGCTGCAATACCCAAGTTGGGTATAATCCAGGGATCATCCACAGGTTTCTATCTCAGTATGCAAGAAGTTTTTCTGGAATTTTCTTTTTCAGCAAGAATGAATTTTTCTAGATTGCTTCTCAGGATATTTGTCCTGTGTGGCTGACTTCAATCCAGAGAACAATTATTTTTCCAGTTTGGAATTTTAACTCACTTCACAGAATCTTGATGACAGAAGTTTACCTCACTCTTTTCTTTTGTCTCTGTTGTCCCACACAAATTTTGGAGATACTGTTAGGGCATGTGTTTTTGCCTAAGTGTTAGTGTACTTGAATAAAAGTAATCTTCAAGGACTGAGAAGGTAGATTTAGGCAGGCAAAGCAGCCTTCTTAGTTTGATATTGTTGAGAAAAAAATTCTACAATCCCAACTCAAAAAAGTAATTAAACCTGTCTAATATATCAGTGTGCCTAAAAAAAAATTTAACACGTTATTTAGATGGCATTTCCCTGGAGGCAATTTGAATGTATCAAAATAAGTGCCAGTTGGTACAAGTGTGCACACCAGAGCCACAGCTGTAGCAGGAACTTCTCCAAAATTTCATGCAGATATCCACCAATTTTTTAACTCCTTAGGTCTTAAAGTGATATTTGAATTTGGTCCATCATGACTGTAACTGTAAGGTGGTTTTGCAAGTATGTATTTTCCTGTGAGTGATAGCTCCTTAACATCTATGTATGAGGGCAAAATTATTACAGAACAATTCATTAGTTCTAACAGAGCAACAGAGATGTTTCCCTTACACACTCTTCCAAAATATGGAAAATATGTATCAATTACATAGATTCAGAACTGTGCACTATTCCATGAGTGAGAGGTACAACTACATCCCTTCATCAGCTAGAGGTGCTTTTTGTTCGGGATTCACAGCACTACAATGCATCTGATTCATATTACAAAAGACATCTTTATCAGATGTATTCCTGTTGGCCTCAAATCTCAGCTACTCTGACAATAGTTTTATTCAGCATTCACTAGATATAGTGAGTTAAATAAATTATAAAAGGTCAGTCTTACCTAGAAAGAGGGTTCAGTTTGGTATTTAAACCAGAGGCCAGTGAAACCAATGACTTTGTTTTGGAAACCTGAAAACATATATTTAAGACAGCAATGAAAAGAAGTGTCATTTTAAGGCAAAATTATAGTTATTTCCAGAGAGCAATACTGTAAGGATTCCCTGAAAAAGAACAGCTGAGTCCCACAGTGCTGCCTTTTATATAGTTCTATATAGACATAAAATGGCAAATATGCATTCCAAAACAAGAGTTTCATAATGGCAAAACATATTTGTTCATCCCAAAGTTCTATACAAACAACCACCTTTCTAAGTTGTAAGCCCTCTTATAATTAATGCCTGTAACTCTGTGTATAATCTTTTTGTCTCAGTTGTCATCTTGGTCCATCAGTGTCTTGCTGAGGCATTACATTGCACAGGCAGAATGAGGTGGTGAAACGAATACACCTGTGCTATTTGGTTTAGAAATCAGCGTGGACAGGACTGTACAAGTCATTCAACTGTAGAAAAGCATGCCTAAAAACATCAAGTTGGGGGTTTTAAAAAAAAACATTCAACAAAAAACAGTTCCTTAAACCATCAAGACTTACTGGCAAGTCAAGGAAGAATGACTATGCCAGTAATTGCAAGTCTGTGTGAATGCATCACCCCAAGTGCAGATCCTTTATTTCATTCTGAAACTAAGTTGCTACACAGTTGCTTTGCTTAACTTAAAATACAATGAATTTAAAACAAGTGATTTTTCAAACAAACGGGAATCTATTGTGCATCTAGCAGAGTTCATAGCAAGTGAGAATGGATTAAACCCTTATGTTGTTTGTTTTAGAAACAAAAAACTTACTTTTTTAGATATTGTCTTTGCAGGAATACGTTTGGCATCTTCATATTCAACAATTGTAGTTACCTTAACTAGAAATATATTAGAAAGACAAGCAAAAGAAAAATCTCATGAAGAGAACAAAACACCACTTCAAACTCCTTTGTTTGCAGCCTGTTTACCCCCTGACAGCCATGTTCTGCTATTCGATGGCCATTCGCCTGGGACAGAGTTCAAAGCAAACTGTGTGGGTTCATCACAGACACTGTGACACACAGGACAGTTAAAAGACACTAGATAACCTTCAACCCCCAGACAAAATAAAATTACATTTCAGCAGTAGTGCCCTTCTTATTGCATATTTCAGGGTATGAAGAGAAGTATTTTCCTTACAAGCCACAATGGGCAGGAGGTCAGAGGGGAAGCTTCAAGAAATTAGGACTGGCTTTCCTAGCTCTTCTGCTATACTGTAAAGCACTGACAAGTCACTTAAATCTGTCTCTTCTCGCCATTTTCAGTGATAAATTACAAGGGCGGGAACTCTTCTCTCACGTTTGAAAGTACCTTAACAATAGCATGGCTCATGATCCTCCAGCACTGAATGCTGGCAGGACCTGCATGTTGTACTTCTAGTTTACACTAGAACACTTTTCCCTCTGGTATCCTTCAGGCTTTACATTCACTTTACAAGTGCTCAGTTCAAACCAAGAACAAAAAAAGAAAATTTAAGAACCAAGCTATGTATTAATGGATTGACTTGCCTTTTTTACTGTTCGTTCTCACCAGTTTTGGATTTGGTATGTCTTCAGTAGAGCAGTCAGTCTTAAAAAAAAAAGTTTATCCAACAAAAGAAAGTAACAGATTTTGCCCAGTAAATGCAAATTATCCTAACAAAAGGCAGTGATGAATTGAAAGGGCAGAAAAGAAAGTGACAGAAGTAGGATTGGCTAAGCACCAGTTTATTTTTTTAGAAGCCTCTGGACTTCTGACTGCAGATGACCCTAAAGCTTTAGGTAAATGTTCATAACCTCACCGTGGCTGGCTATCTAGCATTGTCACATATTACCTTCTATTTAAAGAGGCAGCCAAACAAAATCTTCTGTCTAGAGAAGGCTTATATTCTGCAAACTGATAGAATTTGGAGACGCACACTTACCACTGCAGCAGCGAGAGCCACTTCCTCACTTCCTTGCAAATCTGTAACTCAAGAAAGCGTAGCTTGTTTGTATACAATAACTTGCATAATTATTATCTGCAGGTTCTTATCTTATGGGCTATGAGGCGGAACCAGTAATTCAGGATTACAGTTGCTTAACTAGTTAACATGTTTGTTGCATCTGAACAAGATTCAAGTCTTGTAGGCCAGTCACTCCTAAAAAACAGCAATGAAAATCTTAGGCCATTTCAGTATAGCTAATCTTTGAAAGGATGTTAAGTGTAGTCACACAGTATAGAACTTGAACTCAAAGAAGAAAAACCTCTGACATTGCACTGCTTAAGTTTTTACGCAAATGCTAGGCTTGTAATTATCTCTTCTCTCTTCAGGATTTAAATAAGATGACTTAAAAGCACACGTAAAAGAAGGCTCCAGATTCTATGGGTTGTTACCTACTAATCGTATACCCTGTGTGGCACATGTCAGTCTACTTGAACAAGCCCTCACTGAGCAGCTGCAGCATAGCACACTGCCCACCACTGCCGATTAGCCTAAAACATTCAGCAGGCAAAGCAAACTTTTCCATACGAGTCACCAAGCTCACAGGTTTTCTCACATCAGCCAAGGGCACATCCTGCTGTACCGGTACCCGCATCCCACACACACTTACTGAGCAAGTCTTTCCTTTTCATTTTCCTGATAGCAACCGGCACCTTCAGCAGCTCCACTGTGAACGCCTTCTCGGCTGTTTGCAAGAGCGAATCAAGCTCTTTCTTCATTTCCTGGATATGCTCCTTGGCTTTGGGACAGAACAGGCTTTTACTGACATACGTGTTACACATTTCCCATGGGAACTACGAGCAGGGCGCTTCAGAAAGCAACCCAGCACAGTGTGTTCTCCGGGGACACCCGCCCGGGCCCGCAGCGCCTCCTGCC